GAGCAACGGGATGACGTCGTACCGTTGATGAGGCTCGGGTGGTGGGCTGGGTGGTGGGCCTCCAGCGCGAGCAGCTGCGACGTGGCCGCGCAGGTATCGCCGGCCATGAGCGCACACGCTGCCACGTTCACGCGACTGGCAATCAATTCGGTATCGTCGGCACCATGCGTGCGTTCGCGAGAGCATGCGACATGCTCGGCGAGCGTGACCATCGTCGCCCCTTGGCCCATTAGCAGCCGCACGGCGACGAGTTCGACCAGCGTCCCAATCGTATCGACGTGGTCGCTGCCCAAAAGCGTGTTGTGTATCGTGTGCGCCTTGTGGAGCCAGCGCGCGGCGAGGCGCAGCTCGGCGAGTGAGTAGAAGAGGTTTCCGATCGTCGTCATGAGCTTGGCCGTGAGCCGATGGAAAAGGCCGTGCATCGATCGCCGGACGTTGAAGTCTTCGAGTGCCAGCGACAATGCTTCGGCATAGGCGCCGTTGTGGCGAAGCGACGACACCCAGTTGCTGCGCGCCGCCAGCGTCGTCAGATGCGTCTCCCCGAGATGCTGCATGGCGGTCGAGACCGTTGACCGAAGCAGTGGCTCCCACTCGGACCGGAGCTTGCGCTGGTGGCCCATCGCAAACGCGACCAGCGACTGCAGCAAAAGAGTGTCGCTGTGGACCGGGCCATGCACTTGCAAGGACAAGCAGAGCGCCTCTCGGAAACATTGCTCGCTCTCCGCGCGGCGATACAAGTTGTCGAACAAAAGACCGAGTTGCCGCCACCGCAAGGCCTTGCTCTCTGGCGAGAACGATGCAGCGATTGATGTCTCGAGCGTCGTCTTGATCCAGGACGACAAGGTCGAAAAAATGAGCCGGTCGACGGCTAGGAATGACGTCTCGGCGCGAATCAATTTGAAAATGCCGTCGCGATCCGAGGGCACGGTCGTCTCCGAGTCCTCGCTCTTGATTGTTGAGAGCATCGTGTAAAAGGCGTAGTTGTCTGCAATATCTTTGAGAAATGTCGCTTCTTGATCTTGAGCAAGTGCAATTTCAAAGCGCGCGCCCATGGTCACAGCCACATACACCTCAGAGACGCACCAGCTCCGACGAAGCACTATCGGATCGTTCCACGGGTGCATGATCATGACGACGTTGCCGATGGCTGCCAGACCATTCTTGAACGTTGTCGACCAGTACTCGAACGGGTACGAGCTCGCGAGGTGTTGGTTGTTGTTGAAGACGCAAAACCAAATGACCGCCTTGTCCGAGAGGCCGCGGTCGGCGAAGAAGCGCTTGAGGCTGTCGACGGTCTCCAAGAAGAGATACTGCCAGGCATGCGAGACATACCAGTTGGCTGGTGAGACGTAGGCGGCAGTCGACGGGTCGTTGGCGACGTGGTCGACGAGCGAGAGCTCGGTTGGTTTGGTCAATGGCACGACAAACTCAAAGCAGACTTGGGCTGTCGTCTTGCCAGCAAAGCTGGTTTCGCCGCCATGGCTGTTGATAAAGTGGCGCAGGTACGAGAGGCGGAGGCCGCGGGCGGGCGACGAGGACGCTGCGGCGGTCATTTGACTTGTTGGGTTCTGTTGAACTGCATGCTTTTGCGCCAAGTTGCGTTTTACAATATGAACTACCTCTATGATATCTTTCGTCGACTAGAATCACGCTTCTGAAGACAGGCGAATCAGACGGGAAAGAATCCAAATAATCAATCACTGACTCTCACACATGTGATAGGGGTCGATATCCATGCAGTTGGCCCCAACTGCGATCCCCCGACACTAAGGTGCACCTCGGTACCCCGGATTCGCATCCGTACGTCGTTCACTGGTTAGGAGCAAGCGATCGATCGGCGGCGCCGAGGCATCTCGTCCTTGAAGGCAAGCGTGGCCGGCATTTCGCGAGCTGTCGTCGTCGAAGCACCTTGGACGCCTCTTCTCGGGCTCTCAGTGCTGTAACCGGAGTGCTTGGAGCGAAAAGCGTAGGATGGTCAGCAGATGTCCGGACTCCCCCCCATCCGGACACGAATGTCACTGAAGACGGTCACCATAATAAGGCCACGCTCGGCAAGTGCCACAAGGAACACATGGAAGAAGCAAGATGAAAACGGCATATGCCGGTAACTCGTGCCTACCGGATATTAGGTTGGAGGTAGGACGACCCTAGAAAGAGGACCCTTAATCCGTTAAATAACGAGAACACTCATTTCAACAGCAAATGGTAAGCAGATGTATTCGTGAGCACAACACATGTATTTCGCATCATGTGGTTGTGCTGGAGAAGATCCGCGAGCAAGCGTCTTCGGTGGAATGACAAAAGTTGTCTTTCCTGCATTTTCACTGCCCGCTTTCATATTCGAATGCTTGTTGTGACGTAAGTCATTGATGGTTCCAATGCCAGCGCCAATGAGAAAGCGCAAAAAGGGACAACACGTACGGGGCTCGAACCCGCACCTTCTGCGTATGAAGCTGGGATTCACCGACTGGACAAATGTTGGTCGTTGACTAGGGTGTCATCTGCGTCTTGACACTTGGTTACTACACCGTGTGCCACAGACGCGTTGCTGTGGATCCCAGCAGCTACCTTTGTACTAGTAAGAAGAATTAAATTGCATGGGTTCGTGAAGACCGACATTAAGCTGCAGTAGATCAAGAAGGAACGGTCAAGGGTCCATAAGAATGACCGTATCATCTATTGCTAATGTTACGACATGAGAGGAACATGTTGGCACTGCTCTAGACAGTAGTGAAAGCGACCTCTTTGACGACGTTTCGGTTCCGCAGCGACCGTTCGCCAATAGACATCGCAGTCGAACCAGACAGCTTTGTCCAATGGTGCGTTTTTCTTTGGAAACATTAGCATGAGAGCGGTATCCATGATATTACTTGCTGCCACAAGGATTTTTTTCGGGTCGACTAGCTAGAGCATTGGGTGCCAGCCGCGGTTCAGCGTCAAAATCGAATTCCGTCGCAGTCGCTCCTGAATCGGAACCTCGTATGTCGTGCAGTAGGACTCGTACGCGCCAAAGCGCTCGTCAACCTCCGAGTACGTTGTGCTTTCTGTCGCCAAGAGATCGTGTTCAAGAAAGAACCGACGCGGCGGCAACGTGCTTGTCCATTTTGTCGCTTGAAGGTCGTGGCGGCAAAACCGCAGCAGCCGTGACGGTCGCGTGTCCCGACAACTCGTACAAAACTTGAAGACGTCGCGAGGACACGCGTCGCATGCGACGAGGCAGCCGACCATTGGCTTGTAGCACACCATGCAGCTCTCGAGCCACGTCTCAGGCGCGGCATCGGGATGCGCATCCACGTACTCTCGGGCCAGCGCCATGTCGTCTTGGCATGCAGGGCCATGGGATGCAACGGTGTAGAGCACCCATGCGCTGACTTTGCACGGGACATTGAGAAAGGCGCGGCGGTAGGACGACAGTGCTTTTTCTTGCTGGCCTTGGATACCGTACGCGATGCCGAGGTTGAGGTAGACTAATAGACAGATTGTCCAATGGTAGTACAAGGCTACCACAAAATGTTGTACCAATAAAAAGAATTTGGCGCAGATCCGGACGCGACTCGAGCGTCGACTTGACCGACAGCAATTGCGCCGTCCCGGCTGCCGTGTCCCCTGCCAAGAGTAAGCTCGTCGCGACGTTGAGACGGCCTTCAATCGTGTTGCGATGGAACGCTCCGAGCGTGCGTTCATGAGACCGCGTGACATGCTCTGCGAGCGCCAATGCTTCGTCGCCCTTGCCCATTTGCAAGAGCACGACGACGAGCAGTGTGAGCACCCCCATGGTGGCCATGTGCTCGCGGCCCAAGCATTTCGCTTGGATACCATGCGCCTTTCGGAGCCAGCGCGACGCGAGCCGAGGTTCGGCGAGACTCACGTACATGCGCCCGACCTCAGCAATACTCTTGGCCGTGCGTTTATCGGAAAGACCGTGCAGCGACCGCCGCACGTCGAAATCTTCGAGCGCCAGCGATAGCGCAGCGACAAAGGCTTCGTGCTGACCCAGCGACGCGACATAGTGACCCCGTGTTGCCAGCGTCACCGGATGCGTCTCGCCGAGAGAGGTCGTCGCGGTCGAGAGCGTGGCGCGGAAGAGCGGGTCCCACGTCTCGATGGGCTTGCCTTGGTGGGCCATTGCAAATGCGACCAGTGACTGCAAGCGGAGAGTTTCGGCTTGGACGGCCCCCCGCATGTTTAAAGACAATGCCAGAGCCGTCCGGAAGCAGCGCTCGGAGTCGCTAAATTCAGCCAAGTTGCGGTACACGTCCCCGAGATGTTGCCACCGCGTGGCCTTTTCGACGAGAGACGGTGCCGTGGCAATGGCTGCCTCGAGCATCGCCTTGATCCAGGACGACAAGGTCGAAAAAATGAGCCGGTCGACGGCCAGGAACGACGTCTCGGCGCGAATCAAATCGAAAATGCCGTCGCGATCCGAGGGCACGGTCGTCTCCGAGTCCTCGCTCTTGATGGTCGCCAGCATCTTGAGAAAGGCGCCGTCCTCGGCAATATCGTCGATGCAGCGCTGTTCTTGACCCTGCGCCAAGGCAATCTCAAAGCGCGCGCCCATGGTGACGGCCACGTACACCTCAAAGACGCACCAGCTTCGCCGCAAGACGATCGGGTCGTTCCACGGATGCATGATCATGACCACGTTGCCGATGGCTGCCAGACCATTCTTGAACGTTGTCGACCAGTACTCGAACGGGTACGAGCTCGCGAGGTGTTGGTTGTTGTTAAAGACGCAAAACCAAATAACCGCCTTGTCCGAGAGACCGCGGTCGGCGAAGAAGCGCTCGAGGCTGTCGACGGTCTCCAAGAAGAGGTACTGCCACGCGTGCGAGACATACCAGTTGGCTGGTGAGACGTAATCGGCGGTCGTTGGGTCGTTGGCGACGTGGTCGACGAGCGAGAGCTCGGTTGGCTTGGTCAATGGCACGACAAACTCAAAGCAGACTTGAGCCGTCGTCTTGCCGGCAAAGCTGGTTTCGCCGCCATGGCTGATGATAAAGTGGCGCAGGTACGAGAGGCGGAGGCCGCGGGCGGGCGACGAGGACGCTGCGGCGGTCATTCGACTTGTCGGGCTCTGCAGTGACGTGGAGCAGAAGAGCAATCTGGGTACGAAGGCTTGTGCCGTGTCGCCTGTCGAGCTTCGATGCGCCAAGTTGCGTGCTTTCAAGCCAAACTATGACAAAATAAATATACGGGCTGAAATCACACCGTTTTCTAAAGGAGACACCATCCGAGCCAACCAATCACAACCACGTATTTGATGTGTAACCCATGGCATGCGTCGTCGTCGGTTGCGGCTTGTTGACGCCGGGTCAAAAGGCAATTACATCCTTTCGCCCGAGTTGCCCGCCGTCTCGTACGTCATACATAGGTCGCTAGACAATAATGTACAGGGTCAATTTAATGACCATTCACACTAGCGTCGTCAAACCGATGAAATAGACACGTCGAACGTTTCCGTTTCCGGTATCGCGTACTATTACCTTGTTACTTGCCCGAGCCGCGTGGGACCTGGGCGAGGCTCGCTGGTACAATATTGTAGAGGATTCATTGGTCTTTATTCGCAGTGAGGCTGGACGTGGGCTAGCGTAAAGGTCATGGCATCTTTGCTGTTAAGAACCGACGCGGCAGCACCGATGCTGACGCCAACAGAAAGATAAGAACGCGACACTACCTACGGGGCTTGAGCTCTGCGACTGAACCAAGAGCCCTCGGTCGGGACAAAAAGTGGTCGATTCGGTGTCATCTGCATCTTGATAGTAGTTATACGCAGCGCAAGCTCCACCGGATAAGACCTTTGCGCAGACGACGACGTCATCTCTGCACACTTGTCAAGCTCGAGGATCTGGAGCGCGCCGAGCGAAAGGTCTGGTCCTTGAGCTGCTTGAGCATCGATGTGCCGGCGGCGAACATGCGGTCCCGACGCTCATCCGGTCCGAACAAAGGTAAACGGGAACTCGGCGACGACCGACGACTTGTCCGCGCTGGCAGACGTGTAGCGTGGCTCATCCCGTTTGCCTCTAAAGCTACAGTGGACTGCAGTCGAGACACAGGCCCTACGCTTGAGTAGAAAAGCCACAATACATTCTTTAGGCAGTTTTTATACAATCACATCATACTAGTTGGTGGGCGGTTAGGGCTTGCCGTAGTACGTCGTGTTGAGGTACACCATCTTCTGAAACTCGGCCGGGCAGTACGGGAAGAGGATCGTTGGGTCTGCGATCGTCGGCGCGAAGAGCTTCTTGCCCGTGCTGATCGAGACGTAGATCGCGAGTGCCGACGTAAAGATGATGACAAAGATGCTCCAGCTCTTCTCGAGGAGGCCCATGTCCTTGTAGAAGACCTTGAGGTGGAACCAAACCGGGAGGATCATGCAGCCGAGGGCCGCCGACGACGCGCCGACAAAGTCGAGCAAATCCAAAAAGTGGTTTTGCCAAACGATCGCAATGATCGTGCTGATCGTGATCTGGACGAGACGCATCGTGCACGCCTTGAGGTAGTCGGTCGATGACGCGTACACGGCGACGGGCGCGTCGACTTTGGAAACAACCGCGGACGACGTCGTCGTTTCTTCCTTGGGCGTCTCGTTGTCGATGTACGCCGGCGCCTCGCCCGTCTCGAGCGTAAAGATCTGCTTGTGGAAGCCAAAGAGCACGCGCTCAAAAATGTAGAACGTCGGGAAGAGGTCGATGGCAAAGACAACGCTGATGTGCAAATGCATCATGAGGAACGCAATGACGATCGCGCCGCGGGGGGCGACAAAGCCGAGCTTCGTACCCGCAATCGAGAAGAGGAGGTTGCCCGGAATCTGGCACCCGACGTTGTGATCGCCGATGAGCGACACCATGAAGAAGAGCACCGTGCACGCGCCGAGTGTGAGAAGGATGACGCGCGGCATGCGCTCCGGCTGCGTGTGTTCGCGCTGGAGGGCCGGGACGAGGACACCAGCCGCGTACCCGAGCGAGAGGTTGCCAAAGACAGACGTGACGCCGTCGAACGAGAGTGCTGGCTTGGGCGCCGAGAGCCCTTCGGGAATGTCCGACATGTTGTCGAGGAGCACGTAGAGCGCGACGGCGTCGGCGATGATCGTGCCAAGCGCGCCAGCCGTCGCCGCACCGGCGCTTTCCTTGAGCGACGGCATCATGCAGATCGGAACGAGGCTGAGCGCCATGAGAATGATCCAAACCGTCGTTGTAAACGTATCGGGAAAAAGCACTTGGAGGAGCGAGCCGCCGAGGACGAGAAACGCAATCGGGTTCAAGCAGCACACGAGGAGCTGCGAGAGCGTCGTGATGAAGCGGCCGAAGCGGCCGTCGACCCACTCGCCAATGTCACCGTACGTCTTGACGTACTTGGGCGCGGCCAGCATGACCTTGGAGAGAGCAACGGTGGCGTAGAGGTTGATAGCTGCCATGAGCACGAGTGCACCGGTGGCCCAGTAGTAGCCAGCGCGCGCATAGTTGGCCGGCATCCCGAGGGTCCCGACACCGTACACGACGCAGAACAAGTTGAACGAGATCTTGATATCTTCGAGGGTCAAGAACGCCATGGCGGATGGTGCGCAGACAGGCGAAAACGGAAAGTGAGACTGGAAGCCGTGGGTCGCGTGACGTGGTTGTCGTGACCATCCGCACACCGTTGCACTTGGTTTCATGGCCGACGGCAACTTGTACTAGCACGATCCTTGCCTCGATGACCGTGCACCCTTTCAGTAGTTGAAAACGACATTTGTCACTTTAGCGCCTGTCAGGTGACACGGAGAAATGCGCGCGTCTCATTGGCCCGCCTCCCTTCCACGAGCTCGAACCTAGTTGACTTATCCCCAAAGTGAGATAGTTTAGACGTTACGTGTCCACAGAAAGCCACATGTTTTCCGATTGCGCGGGTGCTTATCCATGATGAGCCACAAACGAGCCACGTTTATGGACGGGATGTCGATTCTGCGGCCTGTGCCGGCAAAGTTGCCGTTCACCTTTCAAACACATGTTGGGTTCGAATAGGGTGCCACGGGAGGCCGCTGCGCACCTACTGCCCTGTGAATAGACTGTAAATCGCTCAAAAAGACCTGACCAAACTCGCCGAGACGGCTCGTTTGGGTAGATAATGCGTGGATGGCATTCTTGTCGTGGGTAGCGTTGCGTCAACTTCAAGATGGAGTTGCCTTTAAGTACCCAGGACCTAGGTGCAGTCCAAGGACACCGCGACAGCTACCGCGACCCAATGGTTGTCGATCGATTACAAACCTGCATCGATCACCGCGCTGCTTGTCAGTCGTGACTTCGCGAAAGTTCTGTAGGCAAAATAGCGTGACGTCCAGATAGATGGCCTCGCAGCATACACGTCCATCTGATCAGAACGGAGAGGACATAATCAGAATGGACCATGTACGTTTCTCAATGATTTCCGCCGTAAAGGCAGGGGACGCATGCGAGACAACACGCGTTCATCATCGACCCCACCATGATAAGTCAACAAGTGCTTGTTGTAGTGGGTACGCTTACGTTTAAGCGCGGTAGCAGGTAGGATTTTTGCATTATACTGGAGTCGAACTCTGTGCATGTGTATATTGCCACAACGTCAGTGTGTGACCCAGCAAGCTCGGTTGTCGTTTATTTAGATTATTGCATGGCGCTTCCGGGGTCGCACCTAATCGGACCGTTGTGTGGACACTCATAAAGTGCGGTGTTCGTACTTATTGGGGTTGATGTACCGGTAACCCGGTAACCCTATGTCTCGCACGTATCGATGCACATTCTTGGAGATCGTCGAGAGCCTCGAGCCAGCTGAAAATGGTTTGGACGATGAAGCACCACCGTCGCCGTCGCCGTCGTGGAGGCTGTATGCGGCATCGATAGTTTTACCAAGCTCCTTGATGCGTTTCCGAGCTTGGGTAAGGTTGACCTCGAGCGCAGCTCGAGCGTCACGTTTTTTCCCAAGCTCATGGCGAAAATCACGAAATGACTTCTTTGGCCTTGACTGCACGCGCCGATTCAGCGTCCTTTCTCGCTGCGTTCACCAACGCACACGCCAGTGCAATCTGGGTGGCAGTAGATTCGGTGACGGCAACCAGGAAACATCACTTGTGGTCTTGGCTCGGTCGCTGTCCAGCTCGCATCTGCACTGATAGAGGGCCTCTTGTAGCTCGCGCAAATCTACACGAACAGCGACATCCTGCTCTTCACGTGCAGCAACACCACCGTCGCCATACCACAGGAATGACGAGTGCAGCGCACGGGGTTGGCCCCGAGTCTGATCCCGCGCCAACACGTAAGACCGGATCGCGTACGACGACTGCGGCTTCTTCGGCAAGCGTGGCTTCTTTGACTTCTCTTCCGCTTTCATTTTCTTAAAGGAGTTGAGGCATACGACGATGGTGCAGGGCTTGCACAGAGACAGAGTGGTTTTGCAACTGCATGCCTCGACGACGCCACCTCTAGTCTTCCGAATGACCTGACTGCACCCAAAAACATTCGACGGAGGATATGGCTGGTGGTACGATGTTGGGGACGCTGGCGGGCTTCGCATACGCCGCTTTTAACAGCGTTAAAACACCACCGTTTAAATATCAAGTGGGCCAGTGTTAAATATGGACCATGAATGCAGCCGACAGAAGCGTCCGTCGTGCACACGACATGCCTCCATCAAGATCGATTTACTCAAGGGCAACAACCATGTCGGTGTCCGTCATGCCAGTGGTGGGCGAGGCGGGTTAGATTGTTGACGGACGCTGCAAATTTGGGAATCGCGCGAGCTCGCTTCCGCCCGGATCTTGGACCTTGAGGATTTTGAGCTTTTCGATTGCTCGGCCTGGTGCGGAAAACCTCATCCACTTTTTGGAAACGGTCCTTGCAGCCATGCAGACAACCCGCTACTTGCACCGGTATCCAGGGACGAAGGAGGAATTTTTATCGTCAATTGACATTCAACGCATCATCGCCTTCCCGTCATCAAGTATTTTCATACAAGTTGTACAATAACCAGTACTAGTAGTAGGGTCGACTGAATTGTTTTCGATTTAGTGAATTTCCAACGCATGACAACGCAGCACCACGCGATCGTGGTCCGGCGTCATTTTGGTCGGGCGCTCGGCGATCTTATTCCTGTAGTGCCCCGGTGTACATCAGTACCTATCCCTACAATATATATATATAGTACGCGTCGAGTCCAGACAAAACGATAGCAACGACCCTCGACGCACAGTGATGGCCCTCCAATGATACCAGCTTACAACCTCCCAAGAGCGTACGGGCCTCCCAAGCCGTCTTCCCGCCCTCGTCGTCCACGTGCCGCAGCGTGGGTGTGACGATGTGCAGCTCGTCGCCAGATGGCACGTATTCGACCAATCAAGCGGCGGCATGGCGACGGCCTGTGCAATGACTATAATCGTGGGCGGCGCGCCAAGCGACGTTGGCCGCAGAGACTCGACCGCTCTGCATCGACGCGCGACGCCACTTGTGCGTGCGGATGCAGTCGCTTGGCGAGCGAAAGTCGCATCCATTGGCGTGCTACAGTCCCTCGTCTTGCACAGTGCCAGAGCACGTCCCCACGCAGTGTAAAATCTGTTTTTGACGGGCGCGCGCAAGCCGCTACAACCCAAGCAATTGGCGTCACTTGTGCAAACAGCTTGACGTCGACACCATTCCACGATGCGACTCCATGCGTGCTTCTTCAACGGGTGCACCAACCCGCGCCTTCCCATGAGCGTCAAGTGCGACTTCCACAAGCACCGTCTCCAGTGCCTCCACGACGGCTGCCACAACCAAGTGTACGCGCGCCATCGCTGCGTGCGCCATGGCGGCAAGCTGCGCTGCGCCCACCCGACTTGCGACCGCAACGTCCGCCTCGGCGCCTTTTGCTCGACGCACGGCCAGTCGACCGCGAAGCGCCACTGCTCCGAGCCCGGCTGCACGACGCAGGCCCACGCCCGCGGTCTCTGTGTGCGCCACGGCGGTGGCCGGCCGTGCGCCGCGCCTGGGTGCCCGCTCCACGCCCGCACGCGCGGCTTTTGCGCGCGCCACGTCATCCACGCCAAGGACCAAGGCAACAACAAGAACAACAGCAACAA